GGGGGAAGATTTTTGCACAGATGGACTGTGAGGTCATAACTACCGATCGCAGGGCAGAGGCCATCTGTTTGTCTGTCTGCCCTCTGCCCCAGTTTTATGCATCTTGGCTGATGTAAGCATCTGGTGTCTGGCCAGGTGTGTGCTGCCAACCAGAGACTCAGGCTGGGTTGGTGATGGCAGGGCCCCGGCAGGAGGTGTTGGTGATGGCAGGGCCCCGGCAGGAGGCACGGGCTTCCAGAGGAGGCCGCCATCTCTGAGGTCTGCCCAGCCTGCAGGTCCGGCTGGGAGGAGGGATCCTTTGCTGTGATGTCAGTGTCTCTTGAGTTATCCAGGGGCAGGTTCCCTGAGCACCATGTGCCAGGCACAGAAGGCCCTCAAGTGTTAGAATAAACAAAGGAATACCAAGGAAACAAAGGATATAAACCGCATCTAAGGATGCGGATTGACGGGACCAGGGCTTCCTTCACACTTGACCTTGATGGAGAGGAGCAGAGCTTTCCAAACAGGTACCCTGAGGACCTCTGCTCCTAGAGTTAAGGTGCACTGGAGACAAACCATAAGAGACTCTTAACTCTAGGAAACAAACTGAGGGTTGCTGGAGGGGAGGGGGTAGGGGAATGGGGTAACTGGGTGATAGGCATGAAGGAGGGCACTTGATGGAATGAATACTGGGTGTTATATGCAACTGATGAATCACCAAACTCTACCTCTGAAACTAATAATATACGATATGTTAATTAATTGATTTTAAATTTCAAAAAAAGAAAAAGGTACACTGGAATATTTAAAATGAAGAAATAAGCACATGCCGCATTTCCTGAACTAATTCACTCATGGAAATCTTTGGGAGATTTCTATCAATATCTCACGGGACTAGTGTCCTACTGAGCCCCGTTCTGGAAAACACCTCCCAAAGTTGCCCATGTGGCCACCACTGGTCTGCAGTGGAAACCATCTACTACCTGCAACACCACCCACACAGTCCTGCCTTCGGGCGCTGGCTTATGCTCTACCCGCTCCCGAAATGCCCTTTCTCGGCCTGCTCCCTTTCCACGGTCTGTCCATCTGAAGTCCCACCCACTCCCAGGAGCCCCCCAGCGGGACTTCACCGCTTGCTGCTTGAGCTCCCCAAATAGATGGCAGCGGACCCATGCTATTTCTTTGTGTCCACAGCACAGCCCAGGGCCAGGCTGGTGGTGTTCCGGGAATGCTCAGTCGATTGGTTCAGGCTGGGGCAGGTGTGAGGGCTCCCCTCCTAGCCACCTTCTCTCCCCTCCAGCCTCCGGCCCGGTTCATTTGGGGTGAAGCAGCCACATCTCACCGCCAGGAGGGAAATGTCTTCACCTTTGCAACTTCACTCCCTTCCTTCGAAGTGAAACCAGGGGCATTTTCTTATTTAATTATTAATGCCCTAAATCAGATGGTGCCCGATACGTTAACCTCTGTCACTCCAAATGGAGTCGGCCTAATAACCACTGTGGCAGCATTGATTTTCCCTCAGTCATCTTGTGAGCATATGTCTTTGGGATCCATCCTCTGAGAGAGCGCCAAGCCCCATTCACGTTCACGGTGGTGAGGAGCTGCCCCCGTGGGGAGGGGGCATGGCCCCTCTCTGGCTGCTCTTCACTTAGCCTCAGTGAATTGTCTGAGAAAGAAATACTTTTTCTTTTTTTTTTTTTTAAGATTTTATTTATTTATTTGAGAGAGAGAGAATGAGAGAGAGCACATGAGAGGGGGGAGGGTCAGAGGGAGAAGCAGACCCCCTGCCGAGCAGGGAGCCCGATGCGGGACTCGATCCCGGGACTCCAGGATCATGACCTGAGCCGAAGGCAGTCGCTTAACCAACTGAGCCACCCAGGCGCCCAAGAAATACTTTTTCTAAAATCAGTTCCCCAGGGGCGCCTGGGTGGCTCAGTCGTTAAGCATCTGCCTTCGGCTCAGGTCATGATCCCAGGGTCCTGGGATCAAGCCCCGCATTGGGCTCCCTGCTCGGTGGGAAGCCTGCTTCTCCCTCTCCCAGTCCCTCCTGCTTGTGTTCCCTCTCTCACTGTGTCTCTCTCTGTCAAATAAATAAAATCTTTAAAAAATAAAATAAAAAAAATAAAATCAGTTCCCCAAAGGAATTGACTGGTTTGGCCTAGGATGTGACCCCACCTTCGAGGCGTTTCCATGACACGTGGGCAAGATGAAGTAGGCGAGCTGGAAAAGCTGGCGATGTGAGATGGGAAGAGCAGTCAGTGCTGGGCCGTGTGGCCCAGACTGGAAGCTACGTGCGTGGAGCGTGCCCAGCACCCCGTAGGTGCCAAGCCCAGGGCGGGTGGAGGGCCCGGGGGCCCGAGCTGGACCTCGAGCTGATGGTCCTTGGACACTTAAAGTTGATGATGATGCGCTTTGAGGGCAAGGGGAGCAGTGTGAACAAGGAGCAGGAGAGACCAGTCTGGCTCCGGGGAGCGAAGTGTGGGTATTAAGGTTGCATCCATTAGATTGGGTTCCAAGAAAGAGCCTGAGGGCAGAGCGAGTCCAAGGAGAGCCTTCCACCCTCAGGCTGGACGTCCTTCTTCCCTGAGCCCCTCCCACACTTCCACAGGGGCAGACTTAGCATCAGATGGGGAACCGTGTGGCTGCTGGTGGCAGGGCTGTTCCAGGCTTGGGTGTGAATGCGCCCCGCTCTGCTGGACTTACCACAACCACACGGACAGAGGAGTGAGGCTGCCTCGCCGCCTGTGTCCTCTCGTGCTCCCTGTCCACCTCCCCTTCCCCCTCTCCCTCTCTGCACCCGGCATCCAGGTATCCCACGGCAAGTGGGAGTCGGCCAAATTGTCCTACCCACATCCGACGTAGAGGGAAGAGGTTTGCATGAAGATTTTAAAAGATCTCCCAAATTCTAGCAAGGATCCTAGTTACCTCCATCTCCCACCCCTCTCCTATCACCATGGGTCAAAAGGGGGCCAGAGGAACACTCTCCTCTAATCCAGGGGGCTTCATCCTTTGATGTTCTAAGCTTCATGAGTTTGAAGATGCGGTCGTGGGGTCCACTCGGGAGATGATAGGAGTGGCCGAGTCAATGAGACAGGGCCGTAGAGAGAACCAGAATGAGGCATTCTCTCCCCCTGGCATTCCGACATTGTGCCTTTCGGAGCACCGGGTCCCTTCCTTTACTCCTTTATTTAATTTATTTGGTGGTGGATCTGCCCAAACCCCACCTGGAAGACAATGTTCATCCTACACTTGGCTCTCCCCAAAACTTAATGCTACATCTGGGCACACTCTTTCTCATCCAGGTTGTGGCTCCTGCTCTCCAAGGGGAATGGGCTGAAAGCCCTGCAGCTCTAGAGGGGGCGTGGGCCCCATGCTGTGCCCCGCCTTTTGGGGGGGTCCCTTAGGTCTCCAAGGACTTGTTGCGGGGGGAGGTGAGTGAGGAGGGGAGATGAGGGGCTGTGATCTGCATACTCCTGGCTTGGCAAATTAAGTGGAAACACCAGAACTGCTTTTCTCTTTCCAAACTGATTTTCAAAATACGTTTAGCCAGATTATTTTCAGATCTCAAACAGAAAAACCTCATTAATCATTAATTTGGACCCCTACAGTTACACAGAATTTGTGACAATTTGTTTATCTTTGAAGGAGCTGCTAAGAAAGAATTTAGTGAGGAAATTACTGGGGACGAGCAGGAGAGTATTTAACCTTTCACGAAGACAGGAGCTCTATTTAGCTTCCCTCTGGGTAAGATGGGGGTATGTGTGACATGCATGCCGTTCTTGTCTGTCCCTGAGTGGAGTGAGTCCTTCCTCATCGGCAAGCTCAGGGCCAATGGACTGGATCCTCTACCGTTTCAAGCCTGGGGACCCTTTCCGATGTCAAAATATTTTCTATATCATCCCCGCCCCCAGTTATTAGAAGTTGCATCTTTTAGTGAAGCAGATTGAGAAGAAAAGCTACTCTGAATTCAGTAAAGCTTTTAAGCAAATCACGACAGCATCTCTGTACACATGAAAAATAGTGCTATCTTTCTGAGTCACGGTGTTCATTCATTCTGTAGCTGATGTTTGAGCACATGTGAATTCCAGCTCCCCTGGGCTGTCCCCGCAGGTGGGAACCCCGCAGTTCTCTAAGTCTGTAGGACCACGGGGTCCTGGATTTCCAGGGCAGGAAGGAGCCTAGGGGGTCACTGTGGTTACTCCCACCTTAATGATTCTCTGCCTCCGTGAGGAGCCCTTTGTTGGGGGAGTCCTCAGTTTAGGGGACCAAGGGGGTTGACATGTGTAGGCACACTTGACACTTGCCATAAGCTGTCACTTCAGGGCCCTGGATCAAACTCTACAAGCTGCTTCCTCGAAGCCCCTCACCAGTCCTTCATCCCTCGGTGGGAGTGATGTGTGCATCAGGCTGGGTGTCAGTGATGGATATCCCATAGCAACAAGAGAAGCAAGGTGCAGCCTTCTGGGTAGCCTGGAAGAGTTTTTCCCAGCTCAGCTTCCCCAGGAGCCACCAGACACCTTTCTTCCCTTTCTTTGTTGCAGGAAGTTGGGGAAGGGGAGAGTGGATGTGCAAAGCACATCAGAGCTGAGGGGGAAGGGACCGAGGGGAAGACCCTGCATTTAAAGGTCAGGAGTTCTTGGTCCCAGCGTGGGCTCAGAGGCCTGAGGACACCCTGATCTTACAGCCAAAAGTTGTGCATGTGGGCATTTTTCTGGGGAGAATTTCTTGAATTTGCATGAGATTCTCAAAGCAGTCCACAAGCCAACAAACTTTCAGAAGCCCTGGCCTAGAATACCAACTTTTCCCTGACTCAGGCTTCCCACTCCCCGGTTACTCAGAACTGGTGAAATGTAGTCAAAACCCACAAGTGTGAAATATCAAATGCTCATTACATGACGTTGGGGGCAAACTTAGTCTGTTTAGCGAGTCTGTTTTGCCGCCTCGTGTGAGAAGACTCAGTGGCGAACAGATGCCTGGGAAAACGGTCTGATTAATGACGCTGCTTCCTTTGTACCCCCCAGGGCCCGGGATGGCACTCTCCGCGACAGAGCTCATTATCTTCTCCCTCCTGCAAACTGCCCTGTCCCTGAACCCCGAGGACCCCAACGTGTGCAGCCACTGGGAGAGGTAAGATGTGGGTCTTGGACGGCCAGGCGTTCCCTGAGGGCCTCCCCCCGGGGCTTGGTACGGTTGGGACAAAAGCAGAGTCAGGAGGTACAGAAGTTGCCCACCGCAGGCCTGCAGTCCAGCTGGAGAAACAGCGCAAGCGCCGAAAGACAGAACCAAGCAGTGTCGATTCTGTCTACACTCGGGGCCCTGGGAGCTCCAGGCCGAGGGGCTTGACTTAAGTGCTGCTGTCTGGTAGTTCGCAAGGAACTCTGGTCGCTCCCTGCATTTGCCCTTCCCGGCCATTTTACAGACGAGGAAGTAGAGGCACAGAGGGGCTCAGTGCCTGTCCACAGCCAGGCGGGGGGGGTGTGGGGGGGGTGGGCAGTGAGTGTGATCCAGATGTGCTCTTCTCCAAAACTGTGACGCCTTGCCTGGTCCCCCAGGACTGGCATCAGTGCAGCGGCTCCCCTGTCCTGGGCGGCCGGCTGCCCACCCCACGGAGGACGGGTGAGGGGACTCCGCTGCTTCCAGCCGGGGTGGGAGGGCTCCCGGGGCAAGTGCGGCCCAGGGCGTCAGCAGAAGACCTGGCTGCATTCCGGTTGCAGCACCTGGTCCACGGGGAACGGGCCAGGGCCCTGCAGACAGCCTGACTTTGAAGTACAAGGTTAAAGTATTGATTTTGGTGAGCAGAGAGATAGTGACCAGAGACCCAATCAGGAAAAACTGAATTAAACCCTGGAATTGATTGGTTGTGCTGACCAGGACGACTCTGCCACTTAGATGTTAATAAATCAAATGAATAAAATTAAGATGAGCTCCAGCAAGTGGGGCTGTCCATGCTCCCTGCTTGTGAGGGGGAGTATCCCGGCCCCACGGCAGGGCAAGGCGCCCCGCCCGGGCAGCACCAGGCCCTGCAGGGATGGGCTGGGCCAGCAGACGGACTGTGCCCCCACTGGCATGATCACCAGGGACTGGGCGCCCTGTGGGAGTCCCTACAGTCGGGGCGGGAGCAGAAGGTGGTGCCGCACCGTGCCCCTTTTAGGGGAAGGGGGAAGAAGGCAAGATCTGTCAGGAGAAGACCTTGGTTCATTCCAGTCTGGATCTTGCCACCTGCTAGCTGTAATGATTTGGGAGAAGTCTCTGAACCGCTTTGAGTTTGCTTCCACCTCTGTAGAGGGGGAAGAATAATTGCCCTGGCCTCCCAGGCTCTCAGGAGGATCAGGGTGCCAGTGTCATGAAAGGGCTTTCAGGACTGTAAAGGTCAATTATGGTCTTTTCTTTTCTTTTTTTTTTTTTTTAAAGATTTTATTTATTTATTTATTGGAGAGCGAGCGAGAGAGAAACAACATGAGAGAGGATAGGGTCAGAGGGAGAAGCAGGCTCCCCGCTGAGCCAGGAACCCGATGTGGGACTCGATCCCAGGACCCTGGGATCATGACCTGAGCCGAAGGCAGTCGCTTAACCAACTGAGCCACCCAGGCGCCCCAATTATGGTCTTTTCTTGTTGATACCTCTGGCTTTGCGGGAACTGCTTCTCACACACTTTAATGCACATCAGGCTCACTGGAGGTGTGGATGAGAAAGTCTCCCGGGTCCCAGCCCCAGAGACTCGGATGCTGTAGGTCTGGGGTAGAGCCTAGGAATATGCATTTTTCATAAGCTTTCTGCATGACTCTGAGGTTACTCAGGCCCTTTGCCCCTTCTGGTCTTGGCGAATTGAAACCTTTATTTCCCAGAAAGTGAGAAAGCTGTCAGCTCAAATTGCACATTATTAGTATCTGGTATGTAGACTCCAGCATCAATAGCCCCCCTACCATCCACCTGTCCCGGCTGAGACACAGTTGCTTCCTGCCCCTGGCTGTGCTATATCCCCACCTCCAGATTACCCCCTCCCCGTCTGCCTTTCTCTGCCTTCCCCAGCTCCTCTGACCGGGCCCCTCTCCTCCAAGGAGCCTTCCCTGATGGCAGAGCCCTTCCTCACGTCCCTCTTCTCAGGGTCCCGACTGCATCACTTTGAACAGTGGATCAGTTCAAACTCAAACCGAGTTCTCTAATTTTCTAGACCTCCCCGATATCAATCAATTTGGAATATGAAAATACTCTGAACGGAGCCTGCACTGAGCTGGCTGTCAGCCGAGGTGATCCTTTGATGGGAGGACAAGGACTGACCCTATAACTAAAGTGAAGTCGGGGGACCCCTGTGGCTTCTCCAGCCCCTAGGGAGGAGGCCTTGCAGGCAATGCCCATAACACCATGTGCCTTCTTCTTGGCTTGCCCACCTAAGCTCCGCTTCCAATGACACATGGACGGATGTAGTGTGTGTCATTCCAGAAACACGCTCCGGTCCTCAGAGACCGCTTAGGGAGAATTTCTCAGCTGGATTAGTGCTTCTGGCGGGCTCCTTGTTAATTATGCCCCTCCACCATAAAACCCAGTGGAAAGACCTCCCCTGGCTAATAAAGCCCAGCTCTACAAGATTAATCTGGTCCCTCATTAGCATGTTGGCAAGTGAGCATGTTAAACCGACCAGCCATGAAACCGGGGGCACACCCTTCACCCCAGAGACTTGGAGTTGATTCAAGGTCTCATTGCCAGACTTGCTCAGTCCCTGCAGAGCCGGGACCGTCCCCCATGACACTCTCCTCACCCCTCTGTCGGGCTGATGCCTTTTCTCTGAGCACCCACTGTCTCTGTCAGGACTGGAAGGGGTGCCTGAGTCCCCCTGAGTGCTTAACAAAGGCAGGGAGTCCATTCCGTGTGTGAGTCCTGCTCCTCCCCCACCCCCACCACAGTCAGGGAAGAAATGTCCCCCAGTGCCTAGCGCAGGAGGTGAACTGCTGCGGTCATATAATAATGGTGGCCAGCATCCATTCGACACTGGGCACCCATTAAAAATTTTACATGTATTCTCTTGTGTTGAGCACTTTACATGTCTTCTCTTGCTTTATCTTCCCACCACCCTGAGAGGTGGACACTCTTATTGCCTTGCTGAATCCTCGCAATGACTGTGTGAAGTCCCTGGCAATTTTTGTCATGAATTTACAGGCAAGGAAAAGGAGGCTTCCGTGAGTTAAGCAACACGTCTAAGGATGTGCTGCGAACAGGTGACAGGGTTCAAATGTGACCCAGAGCTCATGCACTCTGAGCCGTTCATTCTCCTGCCCTAAGTGAGGTGTTCAGAAGCCGTGTGGAAACATAGGATCGTGGAGTCTCAGAGTTGGAAGGGGCCCCTTGGGAAGCCAGGGGTGGGTGTTGAGCTGCCTCGGTGTCCCCAAGCCTGGAGATGAACTGGGCTTGGCCCATGTCTGCACAGACGTGTGCCTCTGACTCACATCTCCGTTGCACCGGCTGGTAGAGGCTCAGCAGGGACCCTCCTTACATCCTCAGTGCTTCAAAGAACCAGAATTTTCCAGGGCCCTGAGTCCCTGTGCCCTGCTGACTTCTCCGGGGCCCTCTTTCTGGATTCCAGATCTTTGACCTTTAAAGCCTGCTGTGGACCCACTTGGGGAGCTGGCCTGCCCAGCCCCCTTGCAAGCAAACCAACAGTCTCCTCAGGCAAAGCAGACGGATTTTTAGAGCCTGGATCTGGCCATCTGGCCCAGGTCAGTGAGCCGTCGGGGCGGAAACAGTGAGGAGTACCAACCTACAAAAAAATGAATTCCTGACATCTCAGTTGGGGCCCTCTCCCAGCCTGCACAGCAAGTGTGAATCTTCCCTTCAGCATCCCGGCTCGACCGCCTTCTCATACATCTCCTGCCGGGGGCGGGCAAGTAGAAAGGCTTATGGGTTAAGGCTGAGATCTTCCTCCCCGAGACTTCTTCCCACTGTTCAGGTTTATAGCTAACAGGCAACATAACAAGATAGTGCTTCGATAAGAGTTCTGGGGCATGTCCTCGATGCTCCCACCGCTATACTGGAGACAGAGCAGAAGGCAACTGGGGGACCTTGGGGAAGTCACTTACTCTTTCTTTTCTTCATTGTCCTTGTCTGTAAAATGAAGATAGCAATCCACCAACCTTATAGGATTGTGAGGACTAAAATGGATTAAAACACTTAGCATAGGGCACTCAATAAATATTAGCAGTTAATTGGTACCGGCTGTGTGACCTGGGCAAGCTGCCTCTCTCTGAGCCTTAGTTTCTTCAGCTGTAAAATGGGACCACTTACTTCATAAAATTGCTACAAGGATCAGCTTCCATATATATGCTTTGAAACCCATAAAAATCCGAACAAAGTATTTTAAAGCTTGTTGGCTCTGCCTTCCAGAGCCACATAGAATAAACCTAAAGCCTCCCTTATTCATTCTCTGATAAATGAACAAATGATCTAGAATTTCAGAAAATGAGCCGGGCCAAAGGGCAGTAAGGGATATGTCTTGGATCCAACCTGGGTCAGGGAGGTGTGAATGCTGAGGGCATCCAGGACAGGAGGAGGATAGTGGGGTTGGGGGGGAGGTTGGAGCCCCTGAATGCCTGGCTGCGGGCCTGGTTCCCCTGGGGCAGGAACCCCCATCTTGAATATCAGCTCAGCCTCTCGAGTGCTGACCATAGCTTCCACCTCCTGTCTGGTTCTCAGCTATGCCGTGACCGTCCAGGAATCATACGCACACCCCTTCGACCAGATCTACTACACGCGATGCACGGACATCCTCAACTGGTTCAAGTGCACCCGACACCGGTGAGTACCTGTCTTGGGCGATGGGGCAGGGAGAATGTACTGGGCCCTCAGGGCTCTCCTTCGTGCCAGTTAGTAAAAGGCCCCTGGAGTAGCTGTAGGCAGTGCACTGCGTGTATCCCCTTGGTGCTCAGTCTTTACCCTGAACAACTGAGATGCTCTGCTGAGGGCTTCCTTCTGGCCAGAGAAGCTTATGGGCAGGGCGGGCCAGAAGTGCTGGAGAATTACTGCCCTTGGGGGCATCCCTCACCCAATGAGAAATGGGGAGTTGCTGGGTAAACCCCCCCCCCCAGCTCCCTCACCCTGAGGGTAAAGGGGAGAACTCTGAGGAACATTCTACACATATCCCAGTGCACCATGGATTGGCTGCCTTTTCTTCCCTGTCTCTTCCCCCCCCCTCCCCTCCCAGTGCTTCCTTAGATTGCCTCTCCAATAAAATGCTTGTCCTTGAATCTTTGCCTCAGGGTCAGCGGGGGGACCTCCAACCTCAGGCAGATCCCTCAGAGCAGATGTAGCCCCATGGCAGGGCATCTGGCTTGGAGAACTGAGCACAGGAGAGAACTGGGCACCTTCTTGTCACCTTGGCTGGGCTGCCCATGGGAAGAGCTCAATCTAAATGACTGTGTGGGGGTCCCCTGCTCCCTTGTCTGCAGCCCTCCTGAAGATCATGCCATTCTCTCATGTTGCTGGGGGAAAGAGGAGAGGAAGGAAGAGAGAACACGTTTTATTGGATGACCCTGGGCAAGTTGCTTTATTTGGGAATTCCCAGTGTGCTCATCAAACATACGATGATCTCTGCCCTACCTACTCACAGGGTCCATTGAGGTCAGGGATGAGAAAATGCTTTGGAAAGTGCAGGGAAAGACGGGAGAAGCGAGCTATTAGATCTGGGCAAGGTGGCACTGTTATTTGAGGGATGGAAACCAGCAGATGAAGGGTGGGTGAGCGCATGAGGGGAAAGCCACCTATTAGGCCTCTTCCCTAGTTGCCGAGCATCCATGTTGGTTCCAGATTTCTTTGGCTTCCTCCGTGGGGGCCTTGTCCCTCTTTGTGGTTTATGCCTGAATCACGGTGGTAGCAAGGTGGATGGGGAAACTTGCTCTATGCTGAAGTGCCAAAGTCCTGGTTTTCTTTGGGGTTTTGTTCGTAAGTAAGTTGCTGTGAGCATAGACATGATAGCTGCTTTGACATCCTTATTTGCTAATCCCAACATCTGGGCCACTTCATGGTGGTCTTCATTCATTGTCTTTTCCTTTATGTAGGCAGTATTTTCCAGTTGCTCCTTGCATCTAGTAATTTTGAATTATATTCTGGGCACTGTGAACAGCAGAGATTGTAGAGAATGAAATCTGTTACGTTCCTCCCGAGAGGATTGATTTGTTGTTGTTGTTGTTTGTTTCGGCAATCAGTTAATCTGGCTGCATTCGATTTCCAGACTCCGAATGTTCCATATTTTTAGCCTTAGCGGGACCGTGTGGGACCTGCCCCCTACACATACCATTCAGGGGCCAGGAGTTTGGGCAGAGATTTTACAAAGAATATGGGGCTTCCTCTTTGCGGCTCTCTCTTTTCTGGGGTTTCACTTTTCACTCTCAAATTGCTGGATCCACCCTGGACTTGTCTTGTAGTGCTTTAAGCCAGGAAGGCTGTGTGTTTTCTACCTGAATTGTAGCCACCTGGAATATGGTTGATTGGGGTCTGCCCTTGGGCTAACCTTGCCCAGTGTCATTTCCTTCTTCCGAATTTCTCTTTCCCTCCAGTATCCACCTTTGTTCCCTCTCTGGTGCCTTCTGGTAGTTGTGGTTGTTTTTTTTTTTTTTTTTTTTTTTTTTATATTTCTCCCAGATTGTATAGTTGTTGGTAGGAACTTTGCTCCCATAGGAGCTACTCAGCCATGACCGCATCCCCTTCCCCTAGCCCTTGATTGTGAAATGAGGAGGTGGGACCAAATATCCCCTTCTAGCTTCCTTAGCTGTGCCAAGTTGGCTGCCTGTGGCCCCGGTCAAAGGTGGAGGCAGAAATAGAGGTCCTGCTCCCTCCATGAGCCCTGTCAGGCCCTGTGCCAGAGCCAAGTTTGTTCTGAGGTGTGGCTTTGTTAGGTACTCGGAGGCCCGGGCTGCCATCCATCAGCGCTGGGGGGAAGGTGAGTGAGTGGCTGCTTATTAAAATAGGCTGCATTCCTGGAACATGAATTATTTTGCTAAATTACTGAGTTGCCTCGCAGCTTTCCTGCTGACCTGGGGTGTGCATGCTGACAGCCACACCATCAGTCTGCTTCAGTGTGGAATGGTTTGTTTAAATGCAGCACCCTTTTCCTGACAGCCTGGCCCCTGGCCCCTTCCCTCTGCTGCTCCCCACCCCAGCGCTGGGAGCAAGCAAGGGTGGGAGAGCCAGAAGCAGCGGGAGACATCTCTCTCCTGGGAGGCTGCTATGGTGCCAAGACCACCTCTCCACTGGACGGACTGGGGGATACCCCTGTGTGGTGGGACGACTGGGTTGGATGAACTCTGAGCCAACCCTGACTCTTCCTTTATCTGAGAGGTCCACACCACCCCCAAAATTGCCGGGAGCTGCTTTCCTGTACCGGGGAAGGAGCTTCACTTGGAGGCTGGCTTATTTTTCATTATGGGCTTTTGACAATGTAGAATGACCTTAGTTTACGACACTCCCAAATATCATGGATTTCCCTGGGGCCCTGCACTGTCATTTGTCATAAAGCAAGGGCTTTAAAGACTGGGAGGGCTGTGGGACTCCCTTCCCAAGTTGGCCTGACCATCCATGGAAAGCAGGCTGTAGGCATCTCCCATGTCTGGTCCCCGCTGCTCTGCCCCCTAAGGAGGGGTCCTCAGGGCAGGCTCCCCTGGGGTGTGGGTGGGGATGTGAAGGGAGCTCTGGCTTCAAGGCCCGAAGACTTGGGGTTGAGTCCTAGTCATACATCACGACCTTGGGAAGTTAGTTCCTCTCTCTGTCCCTTAATGGCCACTTCAGTCTCTTCCATTTTGACTTTAGGTGTGAGGAAGGGGTTTTGCATACCAATACCCCATCTTGATTTCCTCCTAAGGACTCTGTCCCCCCACCAGCCATTTACCTGGTCTTTCTCATTCACTATGGCCATCCCATATGGCCAGCCAGCCACCCTGTGGGGACTGGCACTGGGCAGTAGGCTAAGCCTGGTGGCTTTGAAATTAGAGTGACTTGGGTTCACATCTTGATTCTGAAGCTGATTCATTGTGTGACCTTGAGCGAGTCATTAACTTCTCTGAATATCAGTTTTCTCATCCATGAAACAGAAGGGGGGTTCATAAAATAAGAATAAAAACGGTAAAAAGGAAATAAAACAAAGGTGACATAGTCCTGTTACCTGCCTCAGATAGAGAATGGAATGACGTTGCGCCTAGAAATCTCTCTGGCACAGGATGAAGTGTCCATGCCTGTCCCAGCAGAAGAGGCACACTCCAGGTCTCCGATTCCCAGGTCAGAGCTGCCTCTGCTCCCTGGGCCTTATAACTTCTTCCTGCTGCAGAGCCAGGGCCTGGTTCTGAGCCTTCCCAGAGATGGCATGCGAAGCTCTTGCCCAGGACATGTTATTTTTAGCATGAGGGAGGTTAATCCACTCCCTGGGACTGGGTCAGACTCAGAGGGCCCTTTGCTGATCCTGTTTCAGTTCTCCAGACGGGTGGACCGAGTCCCTGGAGGCCGCGAGCAGCCTGCTCATTTGGGCAGTGGCCCTGGCCACTCTCAGGGCCCAAGTCCAGTTTGGGTCCCCCCAGGAGCTCCCCAGGGTCTGGAGGCTTCCAGGAGAAGCGCCTAGTTACCTCCCACCGTCACCCCAGAAAGGACCTTCCGAAACCCTTCTCGGCATCACGCCGACGAGACTGGGGAAAGTAGGTGTGGCAGACGCTGTGTCAGTAATATTTTCTGCATCACAGTGGCCCAGATGCAGCCATCGATTTTTCTTTATTGTGTTCCTTCATATTCGCGGCCGCCATGCATTTTAAAGTAATTATTGAATGGCATCCTCAATATAGCTTAACACAAATATCATTCTAACGCGAGTGATTGATTTTCAATACTTTCAAGTGGCTTTCTCCCTTGTGCCTCAGGATCAGCTATAAGACGGCGTATCGGCGTGGCCTCCGGACCATGTATCGGCGCAGGTCCCAGTGCTGCCCTGGCTACTACGAGAATGGGGACTTCTGCATACGTATGTAGGGGCCGCCTCCCTGGGGCAGGGGAGGGAACCAAGGGGAAGGGAGGTAGGGGGCTGTCAGCCAGGCCCTGGGCAGCAGGCCTTGGCTGAGCTGAGGGCTCCAGAAATCCCTGCCTGCCGGCAGCTCTGCAGGGATCAATGGGTCTGCTACAAGCACGTTCGCACGAATTTGTCCAACAGGTCGATCTCCTAAGAGGGTTGGATCGACGCCGGTCGGTTCTAGGCTTTGATGGGGTCAGGAGAGAAGTGCACACTTTTGGAGCGTGCTCTGAGGAGCCATGGGGAGGAAGGGCTGAGTGCCTGGCACAGATTGGAAGGGCTCCAGAAGGCTTTGCTGGATGGAAGGAGACATGGATGGATAGAGGGTGGAGGGATGGAGAGAGGGTGGAAGGGAGGAAGGAAGGCAGGCTGGATCATTGGAGAGCAAGACCGTAGTACCGAGAAGGAGGGTAGTAAGAATAAGATAGATCACAAGGGGCCGGTTCTAGGAAGTGGGAACATTTCCAAAAAGGATCAGGAGATCTGAGGACAAGGTGGGCGCGAGGGCTTAGTTTCTGGCAGCCGCAGGCCCTCTGGGTGAGAGGGCAGTGCTGTGCAGTGGGAGATAACCAGGAGTCTGCAGATCTGGGTTCTGGTCCCAGCTTCCCAGAGATGTGGCTTTGGGTAAGTCACTTAACCTCTCAGCAAGAATGACTGTAGGGTTAGAGTCTGTTCGAGTCCAACGGACTCTTTCCCACCACCTCTGACAGGTGCAATGGGGCCAGTATGGGGCACTCCAGTGGGCAGTAGAGTTTTGCCCCAACTGTGGAGAGTGTCAGAGAAACTGGGAGCCCCCCCATTAATGACAGAGGGGAATCCACCCCCATAGCTTCTGCTTCTTCATTCGGAGGCAGATTTGGAGAGTGATTTTCCTTGTTAGCATTCTCCTTGCCCTTTGGGTGAGTAGAGTGAGCCGGCACCAGAGAGCCAATTTGGGCAGGGTGGGCGTGTTAGTGTTGGGAATGAAATGACAATTTTCCCCTCCTGATGTTACATATCCCCTCTTGCTGGAGAAGCTCGATCCTAATTGCATTACAGGAGTGAATGAAAAATGCTCCCACAAATAGGTTCCATAGTGATGGTTTTGCGGGAAACATACAAAGATACTCACGCAAAGCCATCCCCAAAAGGCTGTGTCTCAGGAGCGGGGCAGAGGACTGGACTGGGACAAGGCATTGGCCAACGCCTCACCTGGGATGGAGCTCCTACGGGGACCTGGGTGTAGAAGTGAGATCAAGACCAAGGTTTTACTGCTGCTGTCTGCCCAGAGGAAAGTGAGAGTCAGGCATGGGCTGTGACCCAGGACTCACAAAGCCTGAGCAGAATGGATGTGAGCGGCCCTTCAGGGCTCAGGGCGCAAGGATGGACTCGGGGAAATGTTAAAGGGAATTCAGCTGTCAGCACGGGGCTCCAGGAACAGAGGAGCACATTCTTTTTCTAATTTCCATCAGCAATTGTTGGTAGAGCTCTTGGAAAATGAAGAGCAGGGCAGAAGCACTAAGTGTCCTGATTGCATAGACCCAGTCTTATAATCTCCCACCTACTCCTTATGTCACGGCCATGGGCCAGCCCACCTCCGGGAAGCCAGCTGGAAAAGCCAATTTTAGGACTGAGGGCTCCTCCCAAAGGGGGACAGGAGTTTCAGCAGTGAGATGGGTCACTGTGGCATGCGGGGTGCTGGTAGTGATGACCCAGGGTGGCAAGAGTCCTATAGGTCTAGGTTTGAGTCTCAGTTCTGTCCCCCCCCCCAACTTCTTCCTCTTTATGCTCATCCTCATAGTCTTCACAGGACAACCCCCCTCACGAGGCACTGTTCCAATCATTTTATATACATGAATGCATCAGCTCCTCACAACAGCTCTCTGAAGTGGGTTCCCTGATCCCTCTCATTTTATAGATGGAGAAACTGAGTCACAGAGTGATTAAGTGACTTGACCAGGATCATACAGCTAGAAAGTGGTAGAATTGGGATTTGAACCTAGGATGTCTGGCTCTAGAGTCTGCTCTGACCCGCTTGGATGGGCTGCTTCTCTCTCCGTGAGCCTAGGCAAGATGCCACCTCTTGGTACCTCAGTTTCCATTCATGTAAAATGGGGATAGTAATAGATATCACCAGACACAGCATAGGGGCTTAATAAATGCCAGCTCCCCACTCCATGACTTTGGGTCTTACCATTTTTTCACTCTTGGCTTTTGTTTTAATTTTTCGCACCTCCATGGACCCTGTCCCTGGGAAAATGCACATGACATATATAACCCCCCCCACACACACACACAGCCCTTTGCACACAGTTTCAGTGGGTCCATGGAGCCCTCAAATCCACAGTCTTTGGACCCACGGTAAATCATTTCTGCCATATGTTCATGTTTATCCGTTCGATTTACACTGTTCCTTGTCGATTTGTTTCCTACTCGAGTGCTGGGGACATAGACACACACAAGGGACAGTTGCTACCTCAAGGAGCTGGCAGCCTAGTGGAAAGAGATGGTCTGGTACACGGATACCTGCCCCCAGAGTTACAGATGCTTTGATGAGCATCTTCATAAAGTAGGGCAGAGTAGAATGGAGAGATGTCTTCTTCAGCCATGCCCACTTATCGAGTATTAATGAGGAATCAGCTCTAGGGGCGCCTGGGTGGCTCAGTCGGTTAAGCGTCTCCCTTCAGCTCAGGTCAGGATCCCGGGGTCCTGGGATCGAGCCCCACATCGAGCTCTGGGCTCAGCAGGAAGCCTGCTTTCCCTCTCCCTCTGCCGCTACCCCTGCTTGTGCTCTCTCTCTCTCAAATAAATAAATAAACAAAATCTTAAAAAAAAAAGAGGAATCAGCTCTAGACAGAAGACTGAAGGGGGAAACCCTTGAAGGGCGTTCAACCCAGTATTTATTAGACGCCCACTGTGGCGTGCCCACAGTGCTATGCCTTGGGATATAGGAGAGGTGTTAGGAATAGCTCCTGCCCTCATGGAACTCATGGTCTTGTTGGGAAGGACAGGCCACATGCAGAAAAATCCGTGGATAACAGCCAGAGGCGAGTGTGTGAAAGAACACGGGACACGCCAGGCTGGAGACAGCGCTGTGACCTGCTCTCCCTCGGGGGGCTTCGTGGGGCTTTGGGCTGGATGGAATGGTGTCTTTGGGCATGGATGGGACAGGGAACCCCATCAGCAAAGACGGGGAGACAGCTGGCCTTACCGCGGGGGTCAGATCTGGGCTGGGAGGCTGGCTGGCTGAGGCAGTTACTCATTTCCCTGGGGCTGCCCTTTCAAGCCGCACAGCCTGGCTGGCTTAATCCACAGGAGTGTACTGTCTCACCCCACTGGAGGCTCGAAGTCCAAATCAGGGTGTCAGCAGGGTTGGTTTCTTCTGCTCTAGGCCTCTGCCCTTGCTTCTGGTAGCTCTGTGGCTCGAGGCGCCGGAACTCCATTCTTCACATGGCCTTCTCCTGATATGTGTGTCTGTCTCCAGGTTTCCCCTTTGTATAGGGACACCGGTCAGACTGGATTAGAGCCCACCCTAATGACCTCGTTTGAACTTGATTACCTCTAGTAAGACCCTATCTCCAAATAAGGTCAGATTCTGGAGAATTGGGGATTAGGACTTGAACATATGAATTTTAGGGGGACACAATTGAGCCCATGAACAGGTAAGTGTCGGCCATTGCTATGTTCTCTTGTTCCTGCTTATTGTAATGGGAAGAAAGGAAGGGGACCGGCCAGGCTTTGTCAGCTGTCCAGGAGCGAGTGGAGACCCCAGAGTCAGGGAACTTGCATGAGGGATGGTGCCCAGGGTTCTGGGTGCCAGATGAGAGCTTGCAAAACCGGAGGCTTTCAGGAATCGATGCCCTGTGGCCCCTCCCCCTCCACTTCTTTTCCACCCCTTGGGAGCCAGAGAACCGTGAGGTTCACCAGAACCTGGTAAGAACCCATCTGATGCCAAGAGTCCTCAGGACCGTGCACAGGAACATCTGTGCTCTGGGGCGGGGGGACATCATCCTCCCTCCAGAACCACCTTCCTGGAGCCCATTTCTTAGCAGATACTAGAAGGACACTGGCCTGGAGTAAAAGCCTTGGCTGACTCTGCTATCAACTTGCTGTGCAATCTTGGGCAAGTCCCTTTGCCCCTCTGGACCCACTGTGGCATTGAATGGATCATCCTCGAGCATGGAAGGAATAAGATAAAACAATGAGTGAGCATGTCCTGGAATGCATAGAGCTTGATACAGATGCAAACTCCTCTTTGTGCCATTTCCCCTGCCCCAGAACTGCCATCCTTATCCCAGAGCCCTTGGCAGCCCTTCTAGAACCTTCTACACCAGAACTGCCCACCCCCTCCGTTAGCTGCCGATACAGCTGAGTCCTAGCTCCTCGTGGTCACCCAGGCATCAAATATTTCCTGAGGATCACCGGGCACAAACACAGTTCTCTTTCTTTCTCCTTTCTTGGGAGATAGGGCAGTGAGCATCTTTGCTTCACAGGTGGAGCTGATTTTGTCACTTACAAAATGGGGTTTGAGATATTTCAGCAAACTGCTCTTTGAAAATATTAGGCGCTATTGGACTGGATGGGCTTGGTTACGATGCTGTAACAAACAATGCCCAAATCCCGGTGGCTTAAACCAATAGAGTTTTGGTCCTTATTTATTTGACATGTCCGTCCTCTGCCAGGACCCAGGCTGTTGGAGCAGGGCGTCTGCAATGTTGCTGGTTGCTGTAGCAGAGAAAAGAGGGCTTGAAGTATTGAAAGCAGAGGGCCAAAGTATTTGGTGAGCACTATCAATGCTTAGCACCACACAGATGCCATGGTAATCACAATTCACAATTCACTCAAATGTATTATCGAGTACCTGATTACCTAATGTAAGAATCACCTGGAAGACGTGTTCTAACTTCTAACACAGACTACTGAGCCCCAGCATCAGTCTCAGATTCAGAAGACTTGGGGAGGGGACTGGAGAATGT